ATTGAGAGAAGATAACTAATCATGAATAATTTAACTTATTTTGAAATAAATAATATCAATTTAATTAATTAATATTTATATTATAGTTAATGTTTACAGTAACCCACTTGATAATTATAAAATCATTGTCCAACGGTTGAGATTAATTGTCACTGACAAATCCCAAGAGATTTTCCTTACACAAAATTATTTCTTTAATAATTTACATATATGTTACAAATAACATGAAATATTCAACATTATTATTAATCTCTGATGTTTAATTTTTTATATAAATATAAATAGATTGGTATACTTTTTTTTTATACATGATGCATTTTTTTAAAACATAAAAATATAGTTTATTATTAATAAATTTTAGAACTGTTTTACTAAATAAAGTATTTAATATATTTTTCATTTTAGAATTGAAAATTCTTAACTAATTTGTAAGCACATGTTCAATATTTACATAAATTTCTAAAATTTTTCTCATAAGGTTACAAGTGAATATTGATTATTAATTTTTATAATGTACTTTCACTATATAAAAAATAACATTTACAAAAAAAAAATAACATTCAAATCATTAAATTAATATTTTTTTGCTAACTAATCATGTAAATTAAGTAATTTAGTGATCAATAAATAAATTTAGTCGTTATTTGTACATGGGACTAATCTTGTTTCTAATCGTGCTTGGCGTTGATGTGAATGACCTTTTTAATGGGTTAACCAAAGGCTGCCCCTAGTCAATGAATAGTTTCTCAATAACAATGTCAAACTGTTGCAATCCTCAAACAATTCATAACAGCTAGAGAGATAGAGAACCTTACGCAACTCCAATTTGTATGAAGATCCAGCACAAAAACTATATAGATAAGAGGTGCAGTTTTCATAAGTGACACAATAAATTTAAATTGAAACCCTCTTTAAAAGGTAGAAAAAATCATAAGGTCTTACTAGTTTGAATTAATCCATTATTTTGTAGTTGATACAAATTTAATATCTTCGCTCAGCAGAGTTGTTAGCTAAATGTAGCAATATAACATCATATAGAGTACTTTATTTTGTTTGAGATGAGAGTGCTTCTCTCAAGAAGAGTAATGGATTCATTTGGTTTAGACTATGTTTGGGCGACATAATTCGAAGAATCGGTAGACGGACACACGATGTGGTCGAAAGAACTGTGTTGGCGACAATGATCAAATAGGATTGTAGTCGTACAGGTGAGGGGGGTCGAAAAGGATCATAGTCTAATGATAGTGGCAAAAGGACTATAGTCTGACAACATTGGTCAGAGGACCAGGTAGTTGACAGGCATAGGGGGGCATCCTTATTTTTTTCTTTTGAAATTTTGCTATATTTTAATTGAAAACATGATTAATTTTGAGAATATGTATTTTAATATTAATTACAACATAAAAAGTTTTATCAGTAGTAAAATAAATTAATTTAATATATAATTTCTTTACTAAGTTCAATATTGTTCTTGATTAAAGTTTACTAGAATTCATGTACGATAAAAATTATCATTAGAAAATAAAAATCTCATTAAGTATCAGTGCAAGTATACTAACATAATTAAAAAATAGATAAACATTTAATTTCTTTTTGAATTTATTTATTAGCAATAATAAAAATTTAGTTTCACTTAAATCTAAATTTTTATTATAAATATTTAAAGGTAATACAACACCATCATGTCAAGTTCATTAAAGATTATAAAATTTTCTCTGTTCATCAATAATATATATATATATATTATATATATATATTAATTATTATATGTATAATTTATAATATATATATATATATATATATTATATATTTCGGAGCAATCATATCATCTTATAAAAACAAATGACATTAAATTAAAATTTTGGTGTGTAATCTATTAAAAAATCGATTTAATTACATAGTAATTTTATTATTTTGATTATATTTTGTTTCTCTATTATCTTTTGCCAATTATTTTTTTACGTTATTTGAGAAATGTTGATCAAATATACTAAATTTTAATTATTGTTATTTTACTTTAAATCTTTAAAACCATTTGTCCTATAAATGAGCGGATATAATTGTCGTTCCATTTCTTGTAATGTAGTAAATTTATTTGTATTTGATATCTTCATAATCAAGAATTAATTTAATTAAATATATTTGACTATTAAATTTTTTGGACGGTGGACGATGCAATCTATACTGGTTATAAAAAAATGCGACTAGAAAATACCCTTTATAATTACACAATTTACCGCCCTCTCCTCTCTTGAGTCAAATGATTCACTATGATTGTAATCCGATAGTCTCCTGTATTAAAGGCCAAGAGAATCGTCCGGTTGCTGCTGCTCGTCTTCCTCTTCCCCTTCCCCTTCCCTTCCCCTTCCCTCTCTGTCCTTTTCCCCTTCAAAAGGCAAAAGGGCGAGATCTTGGAAGGCTTTTTGCGCTCAGTTCTTCGCCTCCGTCATCCACTTTACTTGATTCGCAGTAGAAAATAGAAGAGGATCTGGCGAGATCTCGAATCTCCGATCCCCCAACCCTCTTCTGCGCCGGCGCAGCCCATGCGTACGATCAGGAAATCGCGCAGGAGAGGAAGATCCCTCCTCATCGAGCCAGTCGCCGATTCGAACTCCTCGCGGCGACTCAAGTCTTCTCTCAGCTTGCTCTAGTCGGTCTCCAGCGTCTCCGCCATAGAAAGCCTGCGACTACGAGTATCATTTCCCTTTCTTACCTCCTGTGATCATTCTTGCTTATTTATTCCATTTCTCGTTTCCGATGATTGGGCAGCGGGCTGGGCGTTTGCAGGATCGTGGAAAACGAGCTTCTCAGCCAGATTGGCGGTGCGCGCGTGGTCGGGCCAATGTCTTCGGAGTACGTGCTCTAAATGGACTCTTTGTTGCCTAGTCGGCGTATGTTGTCCGGCTGCGTCCGGGTTCTTCAAACAACATTGCTAATTCGAGAAACATCGCCCGGCATCAAAGTTCGTCGTCACCTCCAACATGATAGCTTGTCAACAGTGGTGGAACGCCCGATTTCCTTCAGTTAAACCGCGAAAAAAAAAAACTTTTTTTATTTTTATTTCTTGTTTGACTGGTTCGATTCGAGGATGTGGTTAGGTAATGTGGGCGTTTGGGAGTATTTGCATCTTTAATTAGTGCTGACGATGTTTTGCTGCGGTCACTCACCGCTTACATCGCTCCGGCGGCGGCCGGATCCTGGGATACCGGAATGAAGCGCTTATTTGAACATGGGCATTGATGCGGCCTGAGAATATTCTCTTTCAGAACTCCTTGTTGTCAAGGTGAACCTTTTAGTGTCCACTTCATTTGCATACTTTGCATGGATTGTTTCATT